GGCAGCCACACAGCAGGGCCACACAGCCAGGCACCCCGCAGAGGCACCCACCCAGCCAAGCACCCAGCAGAGCCACCCACCCAGCCAGGCACCCAATCGCCGCCCAGCCACCACACCAGCACCACACCACCCACCCACCACCACATCCACAGGTAAGCTCACCGAGCCTCCTCGGCTATCACCCGTGCCTCGTAGCGGAAGTAGATCTCCATCAGCCGGTCACATTTCTCAAACTCATTTTCCACAAACTTGGCAGCCACACGGTCACGACGTGTCTGCAAGGGACATTGGACCTGTCTGTCAGAGGTGATGTATGAGGGCTGCAGGGGCACGTCCCGCACAGGAGCTGCTGGTGGTAGCGGCTAACAAACTGGACATGGTGTGGGCATATCATAGTCCACGCAAAGAAACAGCGGTAGTATCAAACCGTGGTGACCTGCTTGGCGATGTTTTGGAGCAGGCTTGAGATGATGCTGATGGTGCGTTCCTCCTCCTCGCTGGTCCCCGACTCATCCTTCTTCTTTACCTGCAGCCAGGCAGCCATACGTGGTTACAAAAAGAGTTACCTTGATGAAATGGAAGCAGGCAAGCCCATCCATCCTGCACAGCTTACCCTGAGTTTGCCCATGAAGATGGCAAACAGGGTTTTGAGACCCTGCTGATCCACCATGCGGTCACAGGCAGGTGGGCAGCGAGTAGTGGCAAAGTCGAGGCATTTTAGGGCGCTAGTGCGTGTGGCCCGTTTGCTTTTCAAGATAAGCAGCATCAACTCCACACCTGCAAGTCAAATTGCTCAACCGTTGTTTGAGCAGCCGCTCTTTGCCGGGCAGGACGCCAAAGCGGCACAGTCGTTGCAGACAAGGCTGTGCCGCACCCTCAGCCTCGACAAACACTGCCTTGTTCTCAGGCAGCAGCAAGCAGGATGCCACAATGTTGAACAAGTTTTCCACAAACTCCTCCTCCTCTGTTGTTTCGGGGTCCCTGCACCGAGGTTTCAGAAAAAAACACAGACTTGGCAGAGCTGCAGGGTTAGTGTGGGCAGTGCCCAGAGAACTACTGCAGCGGCCCGTAGGCGAACATCACAACCACACCTGTTGCGATATGGCGCAATGGCCTGCAGAACGGCATCAATGCCATTTGAAGCACTGATCTTGCGTTTGTTGGCATCTGCAATGGCCAGCAGATAGTGTCAAGGCCAATGGGCAGGGAGTGGGGCGGTACTGGAACCAGCAACACAGACTTATGTGCCGCACCTGACTGCTGCACCAGGATGGCCAGGATTTCTGAGGTATACTGCTTGTTGCTGTCCACCTCCCGAGGGCGCAGGCGGGACAGCAACCACTTGAGCAGCTGCAGCACAGCATACGAAGGTCGAATTGAAGGCCTCGACAAGCTCCCAGAGCAAGATGAGGCTATGCATCTTGATGGTGATGGAGAGCCATCAGGGGCCCTGCTGGCGAAAGCCCACTAAATACAAATTTGTACATGCCTTGGTCTTCTCCAGTACCAGCTCAGCAACCTCGGGCTTGACCTCAATGATGTTCTCAATGATGCTCAGCACGTTGTAAACCGCGGACGCCTCCTCTGGCACCTTTTCGTTGAAGGCGCCCAAGCGATGCACCAGCAGACTGAGGGCATCATTGTCAAGCAGGCTCTCCACGAGCACGGTGGCTTCATCCTCCTGCAGCAAGCAAGATAAGCAGTGGCGAGGTGGTGACGGGTGTTACAAGTTCGACACATGTTGATGCCTTCTCTGCTACCTGCCTGAGTCACCCTCCATCGGGTGCATCGGGCCCCCATACCCACATCACTATTGCAATGTGATGCCTCTTGCCCACACACCATGCCAGCAGCACCCACCGCATCCTCCACAGCATCTCCATCTGTCAGCTCTGACAAGGCCTCAACCGCGTCTGCCGCGATGTCGCTGTTCTCATGGTTCAGCAATGCCAGCAATGTGGGCACAGCCGAGGTGCTGCAGGGACATACAACTTGGGCGACCTGTGTAAGCGCATAGGTGGTGGTTGCACAACCTTGCACACCAATTGGGTCAGCAGCAGTACTACAGAACTACTAGCTGGCCTGCATTGGTGCTCACCCAGGGCGACACGCGCATCAGGCGTTCTCCCGCCCGCCCCACCTGGTCACGAGCTCTGGGTAGAGGTCTGGCGCCGAGGCAACCACCAGCATGGCCTTCACAGCCTCGTCCAGGTCTGCCTCCGACTCCATGAACTTGTCCGGTGCCTCCGCATATTTCATGCGCGCCTCCAGGTTGGCATTGTACTGCGTGGCGCAGAAGAAGGCGAGGGCAGAGGAAGCGGCGAGGCTATTCGATGACAAGCTTGCAGTGTTGCCACCACTGCATCGGTGATGCACCCCACCTTGCGCTCCAGCGCCAGGGTGAGGCGCTTCAGGCCACGGACGTCCAGCATCTCGGTGCTGGCATCACCAGCCGCCTCCTCCGCCTCTCGCAGCAGCTGTTGGGCATCCAGCGGCTTGCTTGCCTGCAGCGGCGCGGCGGCCTCGCCTGCCCCTGCGTCTGCTCTTCCCTGCCCATGCTGCTGCTGCTTGCGATCCAGGTAGTAGCTGCAAAGGCAACAGGTGACTACAATAGAGGTGAGAGGGCCCCCATGCACTGGTGCGCCCGCCCGCTCTGCACGGTGCCGGCAAGCTCACCCGATGCCACTCGGCCCGCGGCCAAAGAAGTAGCCTGCCTTGGCGCCCGCAAATCGGGCTGCTGGCATGAATGTTGCCACATTGGGCTCCCCCTCCTGCTCAAAAGTGCTGATGGCCTGCGCCAGTATGCTGGTGGGGGCGGCGTGGCTCATGGCGGCGGTGGCGGCGGTGGGTCGGCGCCTGGCGGCGTGGCGGGTCTGTCGTTCTTAAGCTGCAGCGTCTGGAAGAAGGCCTTGAAATCGCCAGGAGATAACACACGAGGCGGGGACTCGGCAGCCCAGGGCGGCCCCCACTCTCAACAAGCAGGCCGCGCTCCTATGGCGATGGCTCAATCATAGATTCTTCCCTGCCTACGTGCTAGGCGCGCGTTCTGCTTCGCTGTACTTGTACCTTGTACTCTCCACTCTCTTCCTCTCGCTATAGCTGTGCAATATAGAATAGCGTAAAATAGCGTGAGCGCACCACACCCGTCGGATCATGTTCCCGCCCAGCAAAAGGGAAACGGCGAAGTCGGAGCTCAGGCGCAACGTGACGGCCTTCCTGGCCGCCGTGGCCGTGCTCAGGGCAACCCCGTACGCCCTGAGTCTGCTGTCCTCCAAGAGCTCGTGACAGAAAGTGAGAGTGTGCGGGCGCCCACCGCCACGCTGCCGGGCGGCCGCCTCCCGCTCGAGTTGCACCAGCACCCTCACCTTTCAACACATGGCTTTGCCGCGCTGTGTCCAGATGTGCAGCGAGTTGTCAGACGGCGGTAGGAAGCAACAGAGGTAGCAAGAAATGGCGGAGACAGCGGCTGTGGCAGAGCCTGGAGCCCCAGTCCCTGCGGCAAACTATCAACGGCACTCACTAGCAAGCTGCGAGCAGTAACACGTACTCTGTGAAGAGGTCCACAACCATGATACATAATCACAGGGTCAGAATGTGGTTACAACAACAGATGGACGAGGATACGAGACCAAGGATTTGGAGTGGACTGCAGCGGTAGACTGCTAGATTGACAAAAGATCCCAACAGAAGAAGAACGCGCAAGGCTCACCGCTCTGATGCCCGCTCGGATGGCCTCCCACGCCTTCGGCGCTTGGCAGGGCGCCAGCGCTGCTGCTGCTCCTGCTGCCGATCCTCCTCCAAAGCAACGGCGCTGGTCCCCGCCGGCTGCTGCTGCTGTTGTGCCTCCTGTGGTGGCTGCTGCACGGCTGGGGGGTGCGTAGGGACTGCATGTGGCTTATGGACCTGCCGCTCAGCCGCGAGGTGCACAGCCTGCTCCCGCTCGTGCTGCTCACGCTGGGCGGCGGCTGCGGCAGCAGCCTGCACCTCGGGAGGCAGTATGAACAGATGGGTGAGGAAGGGGCTTCTGCTTCAGACCACCAACGCTAAACCACTGTGTGAATACGCCCTGGCTCGCAGTCGGGCATTGCTGGCTGCTGCTCATCCGCGTCATCAACATCATCATCACAGCTTGAGTCAGTGTCAGCACCTTTGCTTGGAGGTTTCTTCTTCTTGCTGGCTGAATCTTGTGCTGCGCTTGCGTCTGCTCCCTCCATGTTGCACGCATTCTGCGGCTCAGGGCATGGGAGGAATGGACAGGGTGGTTGGGGATGGTGTTTAGGGGGGAGGGCATAGCCCATTAGCCCAGCAAAGCCGCAAACAACGAGCTCAAGCGACTGCAAACGGCTATGGACAGCATAGACGAAATGGGAATGTATGAAATGGGAAAGACCACGGCATCATTTATCAGCCGGGGCACTCGCTGCTTGCTTGCTTGATGCAAACATCTTCCTCGGCACGGCTCTGCCATCATTAATGGTGAAGGTGCCAGTCCGCTAGGCCGTCAATCGACCTTTGACTATTGTGGTCATCATTTTTGAAGCTACATTGGCAAGAGAAAGTGTCAAGGGTAACATGTCGTTCACCTCTTGCGTGTAAATGGCTTCCCTCTTCATTCGGTTCTGACAGCCTCACTTGCCTTCGGGCTTGCCCCTACTAGAACAAGTGCGAGACCACCTGTGTCCATACCGTAGAAAAAACAACCTGGGGCCTTCCACTCCGTTTACCGCTGAGTTAAGCTGCCTTTTTTGAAACCGCAGTACTCGATCTGGGTGGCTTGCCAGTTGCGATGGCCTGCAACCGTTGAACAACAAAGACTTCAGGGACGAGGCAAGCTTGGGCGTGTCGTGGCAAACCCAAGACTTGTAACCTGGCATTCAATAAACAACGGCCATGGCAAAGGCGCGTATCACGAGCCAGAGCCACTCGCCGCCTGCGCATGCAAAGCAACAGGCAAATTCTGAGCAAGACGGCATCGCCTTCCTGGCACGGGGAGCGCGGCTGCGAGGAAAGGCAGCAATGTGAATGTGAAATCAAACCTGGGGTAGCCGAGGAGCTTGACAGGTACAACTTCCACAGGTCACACGGCAACAAGGAGCATCATGCATCCGTTGAACCACCGGGCAAGCCATAGCGCCAACTGCAAAGCTTGAACACACAACAGTGGAGGCGGGGGAAGAAGCCAATGGCGGGGCACATCTGCACTAGTGAATTATTTAGTACTTGCCTGGGGGCGGCCTCGGGCTGATCGAGGCAACTACGAAGCGCCTCACGGTTTGCCTTCACAGCCGCCTTGCGCCGCATGCGCCGAGGAGGCACATCCTCATCGCTCCCTGCAGTAGTAATCAAAACACTGGTGACCAACGCCAAAGGTGCATGGCGGCAGCAGGGGCTACTGAGATGCGAATGCAGCAGCTCTGTGGCGGCAGATGAAGTAAGAGTGGGCAGAGATCCTGGAGCAGGGACAGGGTGCAATGCGTCACAGACCCACACCCGCACCTTCATCCACGGCGCGCCGCCAAGGGAAGGGGCGCGAGCGGCGCTGGCGAGGGCGCCACGGGCAACAGTACACCGCAGCCACGCAGGTGGCGAAAATGCCCGTGGCAGCAGGCGTGGCGTCCAGCACGGGTGGGAGCGTGCCGGTGCCCGCGCCGATCAGCATCACCAGCAGCACCGCCGCTGCCACGACACCCAGCAGGCGCTGGTGGCCTGCAAGCAGGAGGTACGCACACCGGGTGATGTGGGGGCCCGCACCAATAGCGAGCACATGCCCGCAAGGCAGCACACCCCACCATGCTGGCGCGTGCCGGGTGCCCCAGAGTCCAAGCTCGGCCCCTCCTACTGCTGCTCCTGCTGCTGCTCGGGATGCGCCTGCCGCTCAGCATTGCGAGTGCACGGCCCCTCCCTCTGCCGCCGCTGCTGCTCCTGCCGCTTCGCCTCCTGGCGCGCATTCCTGTCGCCGCTGGCAAAGTTCTTTCCGCCGCCACCGGCCAGCCGGCCTTTGCGACCCTGGCCGCGCCTGAGGCCGCCCTTCCGGGAGCGCCTATTTCTGCCAGGGCGCTGGGTGTTCTTCTTCTTGGGCCTGGCCCCCATGGATGGCCTTGCGCATCTCTCCTCCTGTCCTGCGTGGGCCGGCGCTACGCTCCCATCGGCCGGCCGCCCCCAAACATGGCTGATTGTGGGGGCCACTGGCAAAAGGAGAGGGAGGAGCACGCCCACATGCGATGTGATCGCAGCGGGCGCGTCTCGGCACTCACCGGGGGCTGCTGTGGAGGCGGTGCGGGGGTGCACGGGAAAGGGGTGGCAAGGGGATCGCTCTGAACGGTTGGGGCGCCTCGCACGGCTTGGGTGCCCACTGTACTTCCTGGATTCGAGGTGCGAAAATACGCCTTTGCTAATTACATCTGGTGCTGAGCAGCATAAAGGGGGCTGAAGTAGATGTGGAGCTGCTAAAGGTGGCGCTGCCTGCTGCACCGCCGGGAAGCCGGGCCATCGCTACTGCCAGTTGCAGGAGGCGGGACTTGCCGGCGTAGCGGCCGGCATACTTCGCATCGAGCCGTAGCTCCACATAGCCATTGGTGTCTCTGGCTGGCAGCAGCCGGCCGCTACCAACCTGCGTCGTGGCAAACGGCATATTGGTGCAAACACCAAGTGGGCATCTTAAGGTTTTAAGAGAACTTCTTCTTACCTTTACTGCAGAGGGGCAGCCGGGTGCCACACAGGGCGTGGCTGCAGGCAGCAGCGGAGGGCAGGCAGTACCACAGGTAGATCCCCAGGAGACAGCACCATCGAAAACACTGAGACTGACGACGTCCTGCGTCATGGCCGCTCCGCCAGTTGCCGTCAGTCTCAGGAACACCGTGGCATTGATGATCGTGACGCCTCTGGCAGCCAGGAAGGACAGATCAAATGAGAGCAGCAGGAAGGGCTGGTCGGCTGCGGTGGCTGCGGACAGCGTCATGCTGGTTACACCCGTGGTCTGCTGGAGTAGGCCACTTGACGTTGTGAGAGTGTTGATTGAGTCCTGCAGCACATGGCGGCAGGCCAAGCTGGCAGACCACAGGGTACAACTCCAGAATGGGCCAGCAGCTGGAATGCTATGCGCTGAGTGCAGGTGAGCCACATGCCTGCCAGATGTGCGTCATGAAAGGTGCTGCAGTTGGCGGGCAAGGGGGCACCAACTCGAAGTAAATGCTCAAGGAGCCTGCATAGCAATAAGAGATGTAACAAAGATGGCAGCCTTCAGGCAGATAGCTTGGCCAGTGGCTGATGTTTGAGGCTGACACTCACAGGTTTGAACACCACTTGTTGCGGGATCCACCGCTTTGCCTTGCAGCGTGATCTTGTTCCAGCCCGCTTTGGCTTGCGCAGTCAGGTTCAGCGGCAACTGCTGCTGCCACAGGTTCCCCGTCGCGTTGCGCACCACCGTGCCGGCAATTCCCTGCAGCCGTAACAAGACGTTCACTTTTGCTGGGCAGCAGCTGGGCGACATAATAAACAATGCACTTTCGCTGGGATGCACGCACTGCATGGAAATTGGCGTTCAAAGTGATGATCGTCCGGGATACTGCAGTTCCGACCAGATTGGGGGGTGATGCGGTGTATGCCAGCCGCCAGATGCCACCAACCGGCAGCTGAAGCACTGGGTACAATGCACACTGCATAGAGAAACCAATGGGAGGAATTGGCAGCTGCGCAGTCGGCAGGGCATAAGATGAATGACAGCCAGAGGTCAGCAACATGAGCCTCACGCCCAACATCATCACAATGCAAGAAAGTGAACACAGCAACACTTTCCATGGTGTATTGAAGCCCATTTGTCCAAGCCAATGCAGTCAGAGAGCGGCCACTATTCCAACCACACCATGCGCCGCTGCAGCGAGCCGAGGCATTGTCGGGCAGAACACCTGGAAGGAACGCCTCGACAGAAGTCAAGCGAGGGGCTGGCAGGCCCACTACGCCACTGGGCACAGGGTCAGAGTAAGCCAAAGCGCGAGCACCGACAACATACAGCACGCTGCCAGATGCTGCCACCTGCAGCAGATCGGAGGAGAAGTTGTGATGACACAAGCCAGCCAACTCCCTCTGCAACATCCCTGGATAAAAATAGCAAGAAGCACCTGCGAAGTGTTCAGGATGAACTGGTCCCTCCACCGGCAGTCGATGCTGGTGGCCTCAGCAGATCCAGCGGGGAGGACATACTGCATGGCCACAGCGCCGCCTGTTCTGTTGCACACCAGCGGCGTCAATGAGGACCTCAATATGTTGCGGCGACAGTCCAGCAGATCCCGTGGAGCCGCCGAGCTGCCTCCGCATTGAGCTGGTGGAACAAAGTCGATGGGCGACAAGTCCGGCCTCATAAGCCGCACGGTCACTTCAACGGTTGCGGATGGGTTGTGGTGCTGCAAAGTGTCGATGGTGGCTTTTTGCCGCCTTGCCAGCACCTGGTTCTGCGTGCAACAAATTGCTAGGGAGGTAACAGCTAAGCCTGGCAGAGAGCCGCAACCTGGTGGCCTTCCCCCCCACTGCCTCCCCACCTCCGTCGTCGCACCATTGGCCAGCAGGTCTCGAGATGGAGATGGCCCAAGGGGGCCACGCTGCCAGTAAACAGCTCATCTGTCCACCACTGCTCCGTGCTGCAAGCAGTGATCCACACACGGTGGCAGCAGGTTTGTCGGCAGCCAGGCCAGCAGGGCGCGGCGGGCGGCGTCGCCTGTGCTGGCATCGTCCGATAAACATCGCTCACTCCTTCTTTTTCACCGTTGGCGCACCTGACAAACACGGTGCCTGGAGAACACTGCTTGGGATGCGCTTTTGAGAAGGACGACGGTTGCAAATAGATAGGCCTTGGTAGCAGTGCCTCACAAACCGCCAGCAGCAGCACCGCTGCAAGCGAGAAGGGGAGGGGGGTCCGTGGCACCATGTGGGAGCCGTGAGTCCCTCCAGCACCTCACGATCGACAACAATGTTAACAACACAATTGTGCTGTACAGCATGTTGCATGCAATTGCAAACAACGACACCTGCTTTCCAGCAGTGTGCGATGCATGCTGGCCTTTTTCCTGCGCAGACTTCAGCATCTGTCGGGCCGTGTCCCGCCTTCCTGGCAGCAGACCTCCCGTGCGCACTCGGCTGAGATTGAACAGGCTACTCAAACCGCCTCCGTCGTTTGTGTTGGCAGCCGCGGGCCCTGGCCAGCTCCCGCAGGATGGTGAGCGGGAGGTGCCTCCATTGCTCCTCACATCACTCGGGGGCGAGATACAACAGCGCGGGGACAGCGCGAACCAACAGCCTTGGGCTTGGTTTTGTGCCCCCCCCCCTTTCCGCGGCCTGCAGGAGAACTACGAGAAGATAGAGAAGGTCGGAGAGGGAACATATGGCAAGGTGTACAAGGCGCGGGACAAGAACACGGGCCGCCTGGTGGCACTGAAGAAGACGCGTCTGGAGGTGCGGCGTGGCTGGCAGCGGCTGGCGGCGGTTGTCAGTGACACAACTTGTCACAGTTGCTGCCATCATCATCACAGAGCCTCCGCTGCCCCTGCTTTCTTACAGATGGAGGAAGAGGGCGTGCCATCCACCACGCTGCGAGAGATTTCGCTGCTGCAGATGCTGTCGGAGAGCAACCACATTGTCAAGTGGGTAGCTTGATGGCCCCAAACACAAATGTTGGGTGATATTTTTGTGGCATTTGCAACCGTATCCAGAGCTGCATTTTAGCATGCAGCTGCCAAAGCACTAATGCAAGTTTGTTCTGCCGGCAGGCTGCTGTGCGTGGAACACCTGGAAGAGAATGGCAAGCCGTGCCTGTACCTGGTGTTTGAGTACCTGAGCACCGACCTGAAAAAGTACATGGACCGCATTGGCAAGGGCCCTGCGCATCCGTTGCCTCTGGAGATTGTCAAGGTCAGCAGGCTGGGGTGAACAGCACAGCAATCGAATTGCGGGGTCAGCGCCACGCCCATCAACTCCTCTGCCTTGTCCTGCAGAGCTTCATGTACCAGCTGCTGAAGGGTGTGGCGCACATGCACAAGCATGGCGTGATGCACCGTGACCTCAAGCCACAGAATCTACTGGTGGATGACAGCACCGCACACCCACTGCTCAAAGTGGCAGACCTGGGCCTTGGCCGCCACTTCACCATCCCCATCAAGGCATACACGCACGAGGTGGGTGGCATGGAGAGAGGAGCAGGAGGCTGCCACTGCAGTTCTTTCTGGTCTGGCATCTTTGGTTGGCTGGTGGCGCAGACACATTCCCAAGGACACACCCTGGTTCCCCGTCCAAATGCACCACAGATTGTCACCCTGTGGTATCGCGCGCCAGAGGTGCTGCTGGGCGCTACCCACTATGCTCCCGCGGTAGACATCTGGAGCATTGCCTGCATCTTTGCTGAGCTGGCTCGCAAGGTCAGAACAGTGTCGGAGAGCAGGTGGACAGCATGCAAGAGCCAGCCAGCAGCTGTGCATGCTGCTGAATGGTTAGTCCGCCACTGTTGGTGTGCTGGTGATGGGAGGCTTCCCGCTCCTTTTCATGACACAGCAATGGCTGCTCCTGCCTGGCGGACCCTGCCTGCGTTGCAGCAAGCCATCTTCCCTGGTGACAGCGAGCTGCAGCAGCTGTTGCACATCTTCAAGCTGCTGGGTACGCCCAGCGAGGAAGTTTGGCCGGGCGTGACCAAGCTGCGTGACTGGCATGAGTTCCCACAGTGGCATGGGCAGGACCTGCACCAGGTGGGGAATGTGTCCAAGAGGCATGCCAAGTGGTTTAGCAACATTGCAGGCATTTCAGATCAGATGTATCGCTATTGGCATGGTCAGTCATCTTGCCGCTGGATCCTGGATGCGCAAGCAACCCACGGCTGCACCCCACCGCACTCCTGTGCAGGTGTTCCCGCGGCTGTGCCCTGACGGCATTGACCTGATGCAGAAGATGTTTGAGTATGACCCTGCCAAGCGCATCACGGTCAGGAACCTTTGGCAGCAAAAGCTATCAGGGCACTGGAGGGGTGTTTTTGTTAGCACTTTCCTTGCTGGACAGTCATCTGGGTGGTGCTCAGTCCTCTCCTCGTGCTCCCACGCTGCTGCAGGCCAAGGATGCGATGCGGCACCCCTACTTTGATGATCTCGACAAGGAAACGGTGAGAATGGGACTTGTTACACACATCCCCGCAACATGGCTGTGCCATCACATGCATCCAACAAACCCTCCGGCCCATGGCCTGTCCCTGCAGGTGGATGCGCTGGAGAACGAGGCGTTGCGCGACCGCGAGGACTGAATAGGCAGGCTCATAGCAGCAGCAGCGCCTCTCACAGACAGTTCAGAAAGAGCGCTATGCAAGCCATTAGTTGCGGTTCAAAACAAACCTGAGTGCTTAGATTTGCAGGTAGGCACAAAAGCCTACTTGTCCAGCTTGCCAGAAACAAACGGTGCAGCTGCCACGGCTGTCAACCAACCGCGACTCCCAAAGTCCGAGTTGGCAAGTTGATTGTTCGAAAAATAGGATGTGGTTTACACAATGTACATTCCCAATTTCAAGGCTCAGCAGAGCAAGTGAATCACACAAACTTGCTCCAGGCGGCCTTGAGAACATGGAACACCATGTCAGCCGCAGTGACCTGCTCCAGGCTGCCGCCCTTCTGCTTCACCTTGTCAGGGTGCACCACTAGATTGGCTTTCATGTAGGTGCGCTTCACCTGCAGCAGCAGCGGGGGTAGCAATCACTTGATCATCATATGCTTGCAGTCCCACCACACAGCAAATGCCAAGCAGTGAGGCAGCGACTGCTACCCCACATCACAGGGGAAGCTCGTACGCAAGCACCTTGTTGTTGTCGACCATTTCTGCCATGCTGGGCGGCGTCCAGCCACTGTCCTCCCACAACACGGTGTGCAGGCTGGCCAGTAGGGCGCGGATGTTGTCCTTCTTGCCCGCCGACCAGGCGTCAATCTTGGGCTGCAAAGACGCGCGCAACTCAACCTTGCCAGACTTTTCGGCGGCCTCTGCCTCATCACGTGCTCGCTTCTCTGTCAACTGCCAAAGATGGCATAAACATAAGCGATTAGCGTGCACATAAAAACAAATGCACAAATGCTTGAGAACCAGGGCGGCAACGTGCTGATGGCACGTTCAATGGCACACCTGGCGCATCATGCGCTCGTGTTTCTCTTGGATGCGCCGCTGCCGCAGCATACGCCGCTCTTCTGGCTCATTTGCATTGCCACCACTGCCGCCGTCATCCTGCCAAAGCACAACAGGGCGCAAAAAAGTCACAGCTCTTACCTTGCTGCGGCTGCTGGCCACGAGCTGTAGGTGACATAGTAAGGGTAGCAGCAGCCTAGCTGGACGCCATTTGCTTACACCCTCTCAGCAGTGCCAGTGTCAGGCTCGCGAGCTCACCTGTGCCTCCTTGTACAGCTCGCTGAAGCCAGCAGTGTCCACATCTGGTAAGTCGTTGCCCAGGTCAATTATGCTGTCCAAAGTTCTGCTTCCAGCTCTATTGGCGATAGGTGGTGCATCCGCAACACCTGCTGCTCTTCTGCTGGGAGGGATGGAAAACAGGTCGTCGATGTGGGCAGTGCTGGACGCTGCTGATGCTCTCATGCTGCTGGCCGTTGTCTCCAGTGCGGCGCCACTGAAGCCGAGCAGATCATCTTCACCATCTGCTGCCACTGATGGCAGGTTGCTGCTGCTGCTGGCATCCATGGTGAGCAGATCTTCTGCTCCAGCTGGTAACGTGTGCTGCTGTGTCGGCAGCTGTGCGGGTGCAGGAGTACCATGTTGCTCAAACTGCGGCTGGTCATAGCGAGACAGTTGCTGGATTGAAGGTGATGCCGAAGCAGGAGGCAGCCCGACCATTGCTGCTGCACCGGTGGTTAGGGAAGCGACATAATTGTTGAGGCTGTGCTGCCCAGCAGCCTCAAAGCCACTGCCCATAGAGCCAGCCTTGGCTCCCTGGTCAGCACCCAAAGCTGTCGCATCAACTTCCTTGGGTCCCTGCCCTGGCCGCTGCTCACATTTGTGGCCAGCAGTGGGGGCATGGCTGCCACAATCTGGGCTCTCCATGTAGCTACCAAGTACCGCCTCATCCAAAATGCGCTGCAGCCAGAGCAAAAAGGCGTGCATGGTACCTTATCCTCAGGGCAAGGTTGCCACTCCACTACTGTACGACTTGGAAGCACCAGCCTTACAACTAGCTAGCATTGCATAGCATGTCAACATCCACTAGGGGAAGGCACATACCTGCACCGCCAGTCGATCGTCCTCGGCCATTGCGCCCAGCGCCGCCGAGCGACTTCCAGGGGAGATGCGTGCCAGCTGCGTGGCCCAATCGTAATGGAAGGGCTCAGGCTCACCGGGGCTAAACGGCCGTTCTACAGACAGGCAATCAAGCCAAGTGACGCTATGCACTCTTCACACACGGAGATGACTAGTCACGCAATAGTTCAGAAGGAAGCAAGGCAACAGAGCAGAGCCGAACACCGGACACAGAGGCACGAGGCGCAAGGCAGTCCACCCACCTTGTCCGGCGGCGGCATTGCTGCCACCGTGGTGCTCCAAGCGCTGCTGGACCTGCGTCACCAGGGTCTTGCTGGCCTTCATGAACCACTTGGTGCCGCTCTGCAGCGCTTTGGCAGCCTTCTGTCCCAGGTCACTGACAGCCTCCTTGGCATTCTGCGGCGGCGGCTGGCAGCCGTCAGCATGCAGGATGCCGGCGGCCGGCTGTGCAGGGCGATCTTGCTGACGTTGGTGGCAACCCCCAGCGCCAGACATGCGCAGCCCTTCCTCCAGAGGGCTGCTGCCCGCTATATGCTGCGCTGCTTCGGCACTGCTTGAGGGTGGCGCTGCCTCTCCAGTTCCCGCTGGCGCACCCTCCTCAGGCTGCACATAATCAAACACCCGGTAGCGTGACTGGCCAGGAGCAGCAGCAGCACTGCCAGGCTGTTCATAGCCAAAGCTGCGGGTAGCGGTGGCACCTGCCATCCCCAGACCTTGCCGCCCAGAAGAACTGCCACTGCTTCTTCCTGCTGCTGGCGATGGATGCGTCGCGCGGCCCGGCTGCGCTTGGCTGATAGGCACGGCGGCAGCGGGCGCCAGCATCTCATGGCCCTCGCAGCCAAGAACGTAATCAAAACCGTTCGAGACACTTTTCGCAGGTGCCGCTGCTGCTGCAGCTGCAATGGTAGGCTGCTGTGGCACGGGCGGTGCAAAGGCAGCCAGGAAGCTGTCGTCTATGTCTGCCGCTGACATTGCTGCAGCGCCACTGCCGCAGCCATCAGCTACGTGCACCCTGCCACTGCTGTCTGCTGTTAGCGGCGGGCCGCCAAAGATAGCAAACGGGTCCTCGTCTGTGGCACGTGCTGCAGGCGCCACTGAACATTTTGCTGGTGGTGGTTGAGAGACAGCGGCAGGCTTGGCAGGTGGCACTGTGGTCGTAGCGCTCTGCCGCATCGAGCTGCCACCTCTCAGAGCGCCCGGAATGTCGCCCAACAGATCGCCAAATACTCCTGCATTGCCAAGGCACTCGTGCAGTCTGGCTCAGTGCAAAAGAGAGGGTTCACATGTTGACACATGTTTGATGCACATCCAGGAGTTGAAGCACCATGTTGCGGGTCCGGAGCACACCCTGTTCTCCGAGAAGCAACTGACAGCCCACAAGCGCTCACAGCTCCCCTGCACCTGTCGCAGGCGGGCGGTTGCCAAGGCTGCTCAAGCTGCCACTGGATGCCGATGTCTGTGACGTCCTGCAGCCACCAGCTGGAGTGGGAAAGTGATTGGGGCCGCCAGACACACCCTCGCGCCCACCAAGCAGCAGCAGGCAGGCAGGCGGGGGCAAATGTGCGCGGCCCCGGCAGGGCAGGCGGCGCCGCACTGCTGCCGCGCCAGCGACGGGCTGGACCGTGACTTCATCAAGTGCTCCATGGTCGAGGCATCGCTGCCGGCCGACGCAGTTTGGTGTCCCTGCGGTGGCGATCCTGAGCCGAATCGGCTGCCCGACAGGGCGCTGCCACCATTGACCTTCATGTCGTGCAGCGAGGGCTTGCTAAAACCGTGCACTCCCGCCAGCAGCGAGTCCAGGCCCGAGGGCCCGCCTCGAACTCCACTCATCCTGCCTGAACAGGCACCTGGCAGGATGAGATCGACAACGCTGTGTGTTGCTGGTTGTTTCGAGGAAGTATCGGCAAGCTGCGGGCAGTACGCACTGTCCTGCCTGAATTGCAATTGGGGCACCCGTGGCTACGTAATTGCTCCGGCTGGCTCCATAACTGCGACACCGGCGCGGTCAACCGCTGGGGCACGGGGTGCCAACTACCGCCGGTGGTCTACCTGCCGGATATTGCGCCGACAACAGCAAGAATCTTCGAGTCCCGGAGCCAGGAGGATCAGATCGAGCGGTGGTACATAGCACATTTGTCGGGCGCCACGGCGGTAGCGCCGCCAGATGTCAGTCCGCTTTACGCTGGCGGAGCGGCAGCTCAAACTGCTCAAGCACGGGCTGCAGAGCCTGCAGAAGATCGGCAACGAGCTGTTGCTGGAGGCACTGCCCACGAGGGTGAGCTGGGCGGCGCAGTGCAAGTTCCCTCCGTCAGGTGTTCTCACATGCTGCCTGTTGCAGGTCGTGCTGCGCACCATTAACTCCTCTCTCAGTGCCTACTTGTCGGTCACGTACAGTGCTAGTTTTTTTGACAGCTATGATGTGCTCGACTGCACCGTGGTGCAAGCCGGTCTTCTGATAAAGGTGGGGGCTGCCTGCTTGCGATATGAGCTGCTTGCGATATGAGCTGCCTGCATCATTAGAAAGCGCATGCTGCCACCTCTCTGCAGCATGTGCTGTCGGTGTTCCGAACTCAAAGGGTGAACAACATCCTGTTTGACCTCGACACGGCCCTCTGCAAGGCCACCATCACCTTACACTGCGAGAATGGTGCGCGATGGCTCCCTGCCAACCAATCCTGCTCTTAAGCCATGCTCTTAAGCCATGCCTGGCGCCAGCTGCGCCTCTTGCTGCAGACTCATGGCTGCCACCACGCCCTGCTGCTGTGCTTGCACACACCTTGCATCCTCCACCCCCCTCCTTGCCTGCCTGCCTGCCGCATGCAGGCCTCGTGAAGAGCTACAGGCTGCCCACGATGGACTCGGAGATCCTGCAGGCCACTGTGGACAAGCAACAGTTTGCGGTCCGGCTGACTGCAGAGACACCCGCCATTGCGCGCCTGCTGTCCAGCTTCCATGCAGGGCTGGAGGAGGTCACCATTTTGGCGCTACCAGAGGGCAGCCACCGCCCCGTGCACGTCAACAGCTTCATCGACCCGCAGAAAGGTGTGTGTGTGGGAGGGGGGCCGCGGCGGGGGGGGGGAGGGGGGGGGGGG